TAACTAATAGTCCAAAATAAATAGGACAGGACAACAATAAATAGGAGAGCTCAGGTGAGCAACAAATGTTGTGCAAGGTTTACTTTGCATATTGCTGACTGCTGTTAAGTGTAACAAAATCACTCCAGGCTTAAATATTTAACGTATGTATTAATCATTGGAGTCCTGTGCTATTTAACATTCGAAGTCCCCCTGTAGTCAATAATTGTATCCCTTAAAACTCATCTTTCATCAACAAAATGACATTTAAACTTCACCCATGCTTCATTTAGTCGCAGTTCCATTAATATGCAAATTAACCCGACCTTCACCAGTTCAGTGATCCACTCGATCAACTTTACTCAAGTTACTGTAGTAAACGCTGCACAATGGTATCGCTCCTTACATCAGACAGATAACTAATATGATTATGCTTTTGCTTGACTACTTTATCAAACAGCTAATAATGCGTTTCTAATGTTACACAAACCATGTTACCTTTCACCATCTCAGAGTCAGACAGCTGCCTTGTAAAAATCTGCATTGAAACACTTTGAACATCAACCAGTGTTAGTGGAGAAAGGTAGTTCATCACAACATACATAATACACCCACTATATTGCTAAATGTACGCGACAGAAAAATATTCCGGGATAACCTGGCTTCTCGAGACTCCCCTGATTCGCAGCAGTTAATGATATGCTAAAGCCCACCGGCACTTTGACGTGATTGGTTACAAGGTAGTTTGTGACAAGAAACGCCAGCGATTTCAAACCACTTTTTTTTTTAGACTTTTTTCACTGCTGTTTTAAGGAGAAAACACTCAGGTGTTGACTTATGAATTTGCACATGGTTTGTCTAAAAGCATATTAAAAACACCACAGACAAAAAAAACATTAAAAACTTGATTTTCAACACAGGGGGGCTTTAAGCCAAAACATCGAAATCCTGCATTTCTTATTTAGCACTCAAAGACATCAGGATTCACTTTTTTTAAAGAATTTATTTGTTGACAATGTACAAGAACATTTTCAGGCCGATGGTCTCCCCTGAAGGTCTTACTGTAAGAGGAAAGAAAAGGCATTACAGTGAGATTTATATAAAACATTCCAGTCTTAAACTACTACACACAAAATACCTATAAAAAAAATCCCAAAATATCACATCTATCAATGACAAACGCTCACTTCTAGGGCGAGTATAACAGGGACAGGTTGTTTCTGAATACTCCAGGGGATACGGTCACACTTGCAGACATGCAGTCAAGTGGCTAGTTAACCTCAAATGAGTGAAAGCTAACCACACACAGCATGCTACAAATTAGTAGCGACTTATAGCCAAATAGGCTGACTGGAACAATTTCAAGTACATAAATTCAAATAGATATTTGCATCCGTGTTAGAAACACAGGATCTTTGAAATATCTGCAAGTGGGGTGAGGCATTAGGATTGAACATGCAGAGCACTTCAAGTAACTGGTAAAAGTGGATCACATCAGCACACCATGCCGATTGCCACTCTACCTTCTCCTGAAACCTCAAGCCTTTCACTTCTGTAAACATCCGAGGGAGGCAAAAGAGAGCAAAAGATCGGAAAAGAGTGAGAACATTCAACTAACACTATCAATGTCTAGAAATGCTCTCTGAAATGCAGACTTTCATGCTACTCCCCAGAAAACAGATGGTCGCATGAATATGCAAATAGTTTTCAGAGAGCAATTACAATCTAGCTTGTTCTACAGATTACTAAATATCCCAGCACTTCACTATTAATGACTACACTACTTTCACTACTCATGGCCTATTATTTTCAACCACATAATGGTCAATAGCATTAGCCATCAACATAGCAGCTAAATGTTTGGAGTCAACTTTTCAGATCACTCCAGACTCTCCTTCCACAGCAGTTAGTCTACTTGTGAAAGTATTTACCTTCTACAGTCCAGATGTAGATTTGATAATGAAGGAAAGATGACAAGTTACATATTATAACTGAGACAGTGACGACAAAAAAACATCTGACAGGCAGAATAAACAAAAGTGCTCAGACAGAACTGATAAAACAAAACTGAACCTTACCTTCTTGCCAGAAGCACCAACAGAGGCTTTCTTGATTCCTCTAACTTTCTTCATTCTGTTCTTGCGTTCCTTGCGCTGTTTTCTGGATGTCTTTTTCTTCTCATAAAGGCCATGCTGAGTAGGAGACAAAACATGCCTTAAATGTTTGATTTTCAAGCCAACTCTAAATAAAGCAGCATAGTAGATTAACTACCAGTGCTGTAAAAAACTCCATCCACTTGTAGCAAGCATCAAGGGTTGCAGGATTTGAGGAAAAAAATCTTAGTGATTTTTTTCTGATAGAAAATTGAGTGCAATTTAAAATGCAATTTTTAAAAGGTTTGCTGTGCTTGTTTGAAAGGGCTGAACAATTTTTGGCCAAACATTGTGATTACATAACTACAAAATTACTATTAAATTAAAACATGAAATGTTACTCTTATATTCTCTAAAATAAGTGTTTAAGAAAAAAAAATTCACAGTTATAAGAGTCAAAATTACAATATTTATCGCAGTCTTTGTGCAAAAACACACAAAAAGTCCTGTTGAAATCAGCTAGGTTACAAGTGCTTCTCATTACAAATTTGGGAAGATGTTGTATTCCCAAATGCACATTATATGAGATCCAAACTCAAAGTAGAGGTAGCGCATATATTTAATTAAATTGCAGCCTTTACGGCTTAATAATCAGACTAAGATTTTATTTTGATTAATCGTGCAGCCCTACAAAAAACAGTCAGTGGCGTACCCTTTGCAGCCTGTATTTGGGTTCATTTTTCTTGGCATAGTCCAAAGAGTCGTAGATCATGCCAAAACCGGTTGTCTTGCCACCACCAAACTGAGTTTTGAAGCCGAAGACGAAGACCACGTCTGGGGTGGTTTTGTACATTTTTGCAAGCTTCTCCCTGATCTCGGTTTTGGGGACTGTGGCTTTACCTGGATGCAGGACATCGACAACCTGAAACAATAATAGTAAAGAGTGAATGAGCAAACGCATTCTAAAAATCCACACTAAATCACAATAAGCCAGCGTACAAAATTTACCATTTGCTTTCTCTGAAGCAGCCGGTTTGTCATAAACTTTCTGGTCCTGACAGTGACTGTGTCGTTCTGCAAAGAGAGACATTTGTTAGAACTCGATTAAAATTCAATCTGGATACTTTCTGTTGAAATATTGAGGTGGCTTGATGATAAACTTGCAGGAAGGCACTTCTCAAAGAGCAGAATTCATACTAACGTTACATGTTAACGTTAGCCACTTGTATTACTCTGAACAGTTATGCGCAGTTAAAAACCCAATAGCATCTATTAGTATTATTAAAAATGAAACTTGAGCATCTTGTATAAATGCAGACTAACGCTGTGCTGTACAAGACACTTGCAATTTATGAGCATGGAACCATGGTTAGCGCTTTAGCTACATTAGCTTGTCTGGACCCACTACTTAGTATTGAGCCCAACTGATATCTATCTAATTTCGGGTTTACGGATACACGTTTTAGGCAACAATGTAATATTTTAACGCTGCTAGCCACTGTTTAACAGTAGCACGATGGTAATAACCGAGACACCATCATCGTTTGGTCTACCTAAAACACATCTGTACACATTATATCTTTTAAATGAAACTGTCAATTTATTATTATATATCCGTAGTGTGCTTCACGCTCGCAGTGACATTATAATATCGTTGGATGGAGAAGATTAAGTCAGATTTTCTTCATCATTTGTTCACAGTCGACTCACCATCTTGGCGTCGGCTCGCTCAGGGACGAGGAAAAGGAAGAAGGACCTGTAGGTGCCCGAGATTATGCCGGAGCGGTGGAATAGTATATTGATGTACTGCCTGACTGAAAAGCGATACCAAATCAAATTTGTATTCAAAAATTGTTTAAATAATTTTCCTAATAAGACTGAAAGTGATATGTGAAAGTGAAAAAAGTGTTATTTTTTGGAAATATAATAACCACCAGACCAATAAATTCGAGTTAGCCTATCTATCATTTGTAAGTCACGACTGCTTTAAATAAAAAATGTTCTAGTTATCTGAACTAACTTGTCACATTACTAAATGACAAATACGATGTTAAAATCTCTAAACGTTTTATTAAACAACGAGATGATAACATTTCTCTAAACGTTTTATTAAACAACGGGTATAATCTAATTCGTTGATGTTATGCAGTTTCGATTTTCTACAGCTAGGTGTCAGTCGCGCACCATTAAATGACATGATCGGACCTCAAGATAAACGATTGATTTAATTTAGTCACTCACTATAACAGTAAGGCCTACTCAAGTTGACAATGACTGACAAACCACACAGACACAAGGAGATCAGTACGGTGTATCTGAGAGAATACTTATATTATTTATTAGCCTATTATTAATTAGGCCATGAGGCCTTTCTGTGTGAAGTTTTTGCATGTTTCCTCCGGTGTCCCCCAGTTCAAGGACAAACAGTTCAGGTGAATTGGAGACATACAGACCTGTGTGTGTGAGAGAGCCCTGTGATGGACTGGCCATCTGTCCACGGTGCTTGCCTCTGGCCCTTGCCATAAGCAGAAATCTTATAGGTGGACTTGCAGACACTACATTTTATTACACAGCAAAGACAAAACATTTTAAAATGTATTTATTTAAGAGTCTGTTATTGTGTTGGAAACATTGTTATAATATGCTTCTGTTATATTGTAGGCTATTATGCTTATACGCTATACCTTTCAAAAGTTTGAAATGATTTTTTTTTAAAGAAATTAATACTTTCAATCAGCAAGGATACATTAAATTGATCAAAAGAAACAATAAATACATATTGTTTCCAAAGATTTTATTTTTCAAATAAATGCTGTTCTTTTGATCTTTCTATTCATAAAATAATCCTGAAAACATGTTATCAATTTCAACAAAAATATGAAGCTGCACATTAACTTGAAAACAACATTGATAATAAAAAGAAAATATTCTTGAGCAGAAAATCAGCATATTAGAATGATTTCATATTAAAATAGATAACCGTTAGATTGGATATCAGTCTCTAACACATCTTGCATGCATTCTATTGCTCTCAACAGAAATTCTCTCCTCCACAGATGACAAAGATGTTCGCATGTTTGATCTTGCAGATTGCACCTGCTCAACTATTCTGGGCATGACAGAGATGTCTTCATCCTGTCTGGCAGACTTACAATAAGTTACTTTCGATTTGTCCTTCACATCTACACGGTGACTGGACCTCCTAATGCAAAGGGAAAGAGTGGACATGCAGTTCTTCTGGAAGTTCTCATTCATGAAAGCGTAGATAATAGGATTGTTGAAAGAATTTGAAAAACCTATGGCCTGTGTGACAGCAACAATCATATTGATTGTGATGTCATCATGCTTCTTGTTCAGGTAACCTGGAAACAAGAAAGCGAAGCTGAAATTTGAACGAAGACACATTTTGAGACCGTAATGTGCACAGATATTTTACTAGACACTTTGATGTTCTTACTGTACTCAAACAGCATATGAACTGTATGGAATGGTGCCCAGCAGACAGTAAACAGCACAACAATGGTGACCATCATCTTGATGGCCCTTCGCTTCTTTCTGTTGCATTAAGAGGGAGGATTGCATAATGAGTGTCTGATCGTAATCATGAGCAGCAGTTATTTAGTCGATTATATATTAAAAAGAAAACATTATACAACAAGAAATAGTCATTTAGATCAGAGGCAGTCATATACGGCATGTGCTGAGAAGGTAAAAAAGATTACCTGGATATTTTGCTAACCTCTCTTTGGTTCATGGCATTGAGAACTGAGGAGTCCCCAACTTGTTTGCGAATCCAGAGCTCAATACCAATTCTGGTGTAGAGTATCAGCATGGTCGCAAGTGGCAGGAGGAAGAGGAACACTAGAATGAAGGTGGCATACTCCTTCCTGTGGACACTCGAGTTCCAGCGCTCCTGACAGCATACATGATGGAGATCATACAGAAAGTCATATTTCACCTGTACACAGAGGGAAAGAACAAAGCAGACTATGAAAACCATTATAAATGTAGCCTTGGCATATGAAATGGACTAATGTTATTATGTGAATAGTCTATATACAGTGGTGGTCAAAAGTTTGTAATAATTAAGATCTGTTAATGTTTTTTTAAATAATGTTTCTTATTAAAGTTTCTTATGCTCACCAAGCTGAATTTATTTGATCAAATAATATTGTGAACTATTATTATATATTTTAAAGTGTAATTTATTCCTTTGATGGCAAAGCTGTTTTTTCAGCATCATTACTCCAGTCTTTAGTGTCACGTGATCCTTCAGAAAACATTTTAATATGCTGATTTAGTGCTCAATTAATATCAATTATTATAGGTGCCAAATTAATAATAGTGGTTCTTATTATTATCAATGTTGTTTTTACTGATTCATATTTTGTGGAAACTGTGATATATATTTTTTTCAGGATTCTTTGATGATGATTCTTAGAAATTTAAAAAAATACTTTTGGCATTTGAAATATATATTTTTGTAACATTATAAATGTATTTACTGTCACTTAATGAGTCCTTGTTGAATTAAAAGTTATTCATTAACTTTTCTTTTTTAAAGTTATTACCCAGAAATGTTAAATGGTAGTGTATCACAGTTTCCACAAAAAGATTAAGATGACAGCAACAATTTTCAACATTGATAATAATAAGAAATGTTTCTTGAGCACCAAATTAGTATATCATTTCTAAAATTCACCTTTGCCATCACAGGAATAAATTACACTTTAAAATGTATACAAATAGATAATGGATGTTTTAAATTGCAATCATATTTCACAATAATACTGTTTTTTAATCAAATAAATGCAGCCTTGGTGAGCATTAAATACTTCTTTTAAAAACATTAAAAATCTATGAATTATTCCAAACTCTTGACCACCATTGTATATACTTTTTTCCTTAACTGGACCAGAAGGCACCTGACAACATTTAACAAGCTAAACCCTGGGGAAATCCTCAAGTTTGTAATGGTAATACACCCACAGAAATCACAGTACAACCATGCAGTGCCTGAACGCTAACTAACGTTTGAACAAGCTGGCTGGGATGTTGAATTAAAAAAGGTAATGGAATGGAATTTTTCAGCCAAAAATAATAATTCTGAGCAGCACCTCTAGTTGTTGAACAAAGAGCATTGGGGATCCAATCACCATGGCTGCAATCCAGACAACCACTAACAGAGAAAGAAAACACTATTAAGATGCTTTATTAGATTTGTAATGCAAAGTATGCATTCAAATACTGCAAAAACAAATTAAACTTGAAAATGGGGCAGGGGGTGTTCTCAGAACTACTTACCAAGTATTCGGTATGCTCTTTGTGGGGTGCACTGTCTTTTGATTTTCAGAGGGTGCACAATCCCCTGGTACCTCTCTGCAGCGATGCAGGTCATAGTGAGAATGCCAGTCACAATAGCAGTGGTCTGAACAAGGGGAACGGTTTTGCACACCAACACACCTATATGTAAATGTTAAAAGAGTTAAATTTCTAAAACAGTCTTTAGCTTACATAAATCTTTAATTAGCCTACATTCAATCAAAACTTTTGTAAAAAAAAAATGTATTTTTTTTATATGATGAAACGACATTAAATCGAAGATTATTTGGAAGAACTTGGCATGTGCGTTTTAAACGAGAAACTAGAAAATATTTCTCATTTTTGTCATTTAAGACGAATTGAACCCTATATTCAGCTAAATTAGCTTACAGTAACCCAATTCACTGAAATGACTCTCAATGTTGTCAACAGCAAACAAAACGTGCAAAACAACATAGCCTACTGCAAACATGTGCATGTAGCTACATCCATACAAAATATGTTTTATAATAAAAATGATTTCGAAATGACACTCACCCCCAAACCACTCAGAGGAGATGTTCTGTAGCAGAGTGAACGGGATGCAGAAGAAAGATATCAGAAGGTCGCTGACGGCTAGAGAGCAGATGAAAATATTTGTGGCAGTCTGGATCCCGCGCTTTATTAAGACAATATAGACAACCAGACTATTGCCAATGAGAGCCAGGAGGAAAATCACCGTGTAAACAATAACAAACGTAGTTTTGGCGCTGGCCGGTAACTCAGGGATGTAAACCAACGGCTGAATCTGGTACGTCTCAATAAACTCCCGACGAGTAAGATTATATAATTGTAGTAGTTGCTCCAACACTTCGGGAGTAACCTTAATATCCCCCATGTATTAAGCTGGTTTTTAAAATGGACCGAAAGAAATCAAAGTTCTACAAAGAGTTCTACTGATGTTAGTCAGTTCTGCTCTGCTTCTATTTCGTGTCTCTTCACTAAAGCAGCAGCTCCCGAATCCCTTGTGTGGTTTATTTCATGCGACACATCGGCTGTCTCAAAACCCAGTGAGTTGATTTATTATGAGCGTCATAGACTGTAGGTAAGCTCACTAAGTGTGGAGAGTGAGACAGTCATTTGCTCAGTGGAATCCGAAGGACATCACATTTTTACCTTTTTTTCTATTCTTTTTTTTAAACGTGTTTCACCTTTGCAGAAGGCAGATTTAGCTATTTAGCCTACAATTAAAAGAACGAATAGCCTATATTAGGCTATTATTATTATTATTAGATCATGTGATTAAAATTCTATTTAGTTTACACCTACACATCCAAATACAGATTCTTGAGACATATGGGACAGAACTTTGCTTTAGAATTAAAATAGCCAAAATAATTTGTACTTTCTAATCAGGGATTATCTCAAGAATGTTGTAGTGTTTATTTTATTTTCTCTTTGTTTTTTATTAAAGTGCCCCTATATATATTTTAAAGGTTCTTAATTTTGTTTTAGAGTTCTACATCAGGGTTACGTGCATCAAAGGTCAAAAAACACTTTCATGTTCTCATAATAATATACATTACACTAACACATCACAACATTTTTCAATGATTCAACCGAAGATTCAGGGTGCTTCTCAATATCCCTCCTCGGCTGCGTTCCAGTCCACTGACACACACTTGCGAACTTCCCTAAGCACTTCCCCTCATAGTATGGAAGCAGAATAGTCTCAAATATAATTCACGCAAAGAAACATGATTCACACGTGCGTACAATTTCACGTGCCTGAAACCTAATTCACGTACACAAACAAAAAATTCACGTGCGTGAAAAAAGATTATATTCACAAAAAGCAATTCACATGCGCAAAATAAAATTACATATTCATAAAAACATTTCACAAATGCAAAACACAATTCGTAGATATACAACTGTGAACAAAAACCTTTGAATGTTTAAAATGTACGAGAGTGTCCTTGAATTTGAATGTGCAAATCGTCATTCACGAATCGCCTTGGATGTGTGTGTGTGTGTGTGTATTTTTGATAATGTATGTAATGACGTGCATATAGGAGACATGTTTTGTTTTAAGCATCATATATTATGTAGTTTTATTGTTTCAGATTTCCAAGACATATGTATGAAGTTGCAGACAACCAGTACTGTGATCTTACCATTCCTACTGTAAATCTTTGAAAACAGTCATGTTGCAAGCCATCCATTTAGACAGTTGTTTCAACAAGAGGTTAAAAGTGATGCATTATTATTGTATTCATTTGTCTCCTGCGGACTATATGTACACGCTTTAGGAATACAGCCCCGCTATGCATGCATTATTAAATGTTCTTGTCAGAATTAAAAGATTAAAAGAAATGGTTCAATTTGATATACACGTTTTATTAATTTGAAAGTTTCCGAAATCCTTTGGGAATAAAATATAAATAAAATGACATGATTAATGTTCCTGGCTGTTACATATAAAGATCATGAACTGACAGTTTAAAGTATGAAGCACAACATTCAGTACAGAGAAATATACGTCTCTTCCAGAGTTGTGAGATCCAGTCAGAGTCTACTTTGCTTTTAAAGTATGTAAATTTAAGTGCCATAGCCTACATCAAGTGAAAAGTAAACAAATGAATTGTGTTCAGTTTAGGACATATCAGATTTTTTCCTGATATTTAAAATAGTAAAAACCTATAGTACAAGAGGTGCAGAGTGCAGGCAGAGGACGTGGGAAATTAAGTGATGGTATTTGAATAGAGTTTACGGAGTAATCTTAGTCGCATAATCTTAATAGCCTCTCTATGATAAGTAACTTTGTCTTATCAGCATAAAATCAGATTTGCCTATTTTATTAGGCAAAGTAAAATTAATGCTTCACAATATTGTCCTGTGAGACCTTAAGATGACAATAAAAAACCTGAGATGACAATACAGCACAAAACAATGTTGAATATATTGGTAACACTATACAATATGGTAATATAACTAAATAAGTTAACATTAGTTGATGTATTAACTAACCATGAGCAATACATTTGTTGTGGTGTTTGTTAATCTTTGTTAACATCAGTTAAAAATACAGCTGTTTATTGTAAGTTTACAGTGCATTAATTAATGTTAACAAGATTTTAATGAAGTATAAGTAAATGTTGAAATTAACATTAACAAAAAATAATAAAGGCTGTTTAGGTAGCCTACAGTTCATTATTAGTTCATGCTAACTAATGAAACGTTATTGTAAAGTGTTACCAATTAAGACATTAATACAAAAAAAAAGTATAAAAGAGAATAAAGAAATAACATGGATTAAGATGTTTGTGACTGCTATCCAGATGTCACACCAAAGGGGAGTAATCCTAAAAAATACAGGGAAACAAGTGTTAACAATAATTTAACAACATACCTTTATGGCAAATAAACAGTGGGTGCTCATTAAAATAGGTCTATTCACAATTTTAAGAACAATCTCGATGAGGCCAGTGCTGAGAGAGCTAGGGTGGGTATTGACCACAGATGATTGTTTTGCACTCATTAGCGTGATTGCTGTAGCTGTGAGAGCTGTCTGTACAGATAAAATACAACAAAACAAGCATCGTTCTTCTTCATTTTTGACACGATATGGGACATCTGATGACAACAGCACTTGCTTACATCAGTTAATAGTTCATAAACTATTGCTTCAACTGATCTCAAACTTCTTTAACTTCAGTTAACACGGAAATGAAGTTTGAACTAGTAACTGCACTTACCTCTGCTCAACCATGAACTAGTCGAAAGCTGATGACGTGACATGCAGATAGGCCTGCCCTCACGTGATACTGATTGGTCGATTGATAAGCTTAAAGCGACACTTCACCCATTTGCATTAAGCTTTGTATCTTTAGAAACCCAGTCATATTTTTGAATGGTCATGGTTTATTCCCTTATTTTCCCCTGAGATGGGAGAAATAAGGATTTAAGTTTTCCACTTCCTGCTTTTTATGACGTAAAAATCGTCATTTTGCGTCATAAAAAGCAGGAAGTCCCATTTCTTTGTATAAGGGTTGAGACTACAAACACAAGCTCATCATTTATTCAGGGTTTGGAACCCACTCACGCTACAGACCTATTACAGATCAGTGGGTGGGACTTCACTTGCAGATACAGAATGGATGTTGAATCGTCAGACAGTGGCCCTGATCTGGGAGGTATTCGGGAAAGCGGAAGTAGACCTCTTTGCTTCGCAGGAGTCGTCCCAATGCCCGTTTTGGTTCTCCCTGAGTCGTCCAGCTCCGTTGGGGATAGATGCATTCGGCTGGAATCATCCCCCTGGAGGATTCCAGTCAGAGAGGACCTGCTTTCCCAACTTCAGGGCAGGATATGGCATCCTCACCCACACATGTGGAAACTGTACGTTTGGCCGATCAGAGGCCGTCTGCATTAGGTTTTGATCTCCTAACTGACGTTCATGAAGACCATCGCAAGTGCTAGAGCCCCTTCTACAAGGAGGCTATATTCCTCCAAATGGAAGGTTTTCGTGGCATTGTGCTTAGCACATGATAGGAACCCAGTTAACTGCCCTGTTGGCTCAGTACTGGAATTCCTGCAGGAGAAGTTTACCTCCGGAGCGGCTGCTACTACTCTCAGAGTTTACGTTGCTGCTATTGCGGCACATAGAGAATCAGACGAGATTCCCCTGGGTAAACTGAGGTTAGTTTCGGCCTTCATGCGTGGGGTTAGGCGCCTGAAACCGGTTCGCTCCCCTAGAGTTCCCTCGTGGGACCTATCTGTCGTCTTAGAGGGTTTGACGGAGGCCCCCTTCGAGCCCTTGGAGTCAGCTCCGGAACGGATTCTGACTCTTAAGGTTTCTCTTTTGCTGGCTTTATCTTCTTTGAAGCGGATAGGGGACTTACAAGCTCTCTCTATTAGCAAGTCATGCTTGGACTTCGCTCCTGGCTTAGTCAAGGTTTCCTTAAGACCGAGGCCAGGGTATGTTCCCAAGGTTCTCTCCACAGCGTTCCGCTCTCAGGTTGTTAACTTTAACGCTTTCCACCCTCCTCCTTTTTCTTCTGAGGAAGATAGGAGCCTTAACTTGCTCTGCCCAGTGGGTTCTTTGAAGTTATATGTAGACCACTCAGGCGGTTGGAGAAAATCTAACCAGCTTCTGGTTTGTTTTGGTGCTAGCCGCCACGGGCTTGCTGCATCAAAGCAGAGGATTTCTCACTGGGTCACGGAAGCTATCTCAATGGCTTACGAGGTGCCTGGTTTGCCTTCACCTCTTAGCATTAGAGCACATTCCACCAGAAGTGTGGCATCCTCTCAAGCTTTTTTTAGAGGAGCACTTTGAGGACATTTGTGTTGCGGCCGGCTGGTCCTCTCCGCACACTTTTGTAAGATTCTACAATTTGGATCTTGACATGACTCCGGGTTCCCAGGTTCTTTCTGTTTGAACCTTTCATGGTTATTGTTTTATTGGTACCAGTCATGGCAGCGCTCATTGCTTGGCGAGTTTGGTATCCCGTTCCCACTGCGCTTTCCGCAGCGTTGAGTGAACCTATGAAAGAGAACGTCTCTGGTTACTTGCGTAACCTATGTTCTCTGAATAGGGAACGAGACGCTGCGTTAGCTGCCAAGCTCCTCGCGCTGCTGACAGTTTCTTTACTCTTTTCGGCAGAGAAATCTGAGGAGAGGATGGCGTGCGCGCATACTTGATGATGCGACGTGGGCGCGTCGGGGCGGAGCCAGATTGCGCAAGCGCCATCAGCCAATGAATTGGCGTGATTCTATAGGGCTTCAGACAATCGGCACATTCAGAGAATATCCCACTGCGCTTTCCGGAGCGTCTCGTTCCCTATTCAGAGAACATAGGTTACGCAAGTAACCAGAGACGTTTTGCATTTGTGAAATGTTTTTATGAATA